TTGTTTCTTTTATTATTTCTCTGGCTTTTTATTTTAATCACGATTATACCTTTTTCTTTTCATATTTCTATACACTGTTTATATTCCCCTTCCTATTCCGGTTCCTATTATATTTTTCCCTTATTTTTCGTATGTAATCTAAATAAGAATTAAATGCAGATTAACTTAAATTAAGGTAAATGCTGTCCCTGTTTTTATATAGGTTTCTCTTCCTATTCCGGTTCCTGTTCCGGTTCCGCTTCCTGTCCCTGTTCCTATTCCCGTTCCTATTCCGGATTCCGGTTTCCCGCTTTTCCAGACGCCCATTAACAGACGTCTCCTCTCCCGATTTTTCCTGAGGGAGTGGGGACGTCTGTACACAGGCTATTTACATTAAAGACCGAGGTTTTTTTAGTTTTGCATCTAACACGATAAAACTGTCAGTTAATGAAACAAAATGGAGTAGTTTGCTAGCCAGGGGCCCGTTTCTGGAAAGTCCCGGTAACTTTTCGGGCCCGAAATCAAATCTTCAAATCGAAATATAAAGAATAAGAGAGCAGGTCCTGGCTAGCAGACTACTCCATTTTGTTTCATTAACTGATATTTTTATCATGTTAGATTAAAACTATTGAAACTTCGATCTTTAATGTAAACGGAGACAACTTACCGGGCCCGTCAATTATCGGGACTTTCGAGAAACGGGCCCCAGGACCCGCGCTCTTATTCTTTATATTTCGATTTGAATATTTGGTTTCGGGCCCGTAAAGTTACCGGGACTTTCGAGAAACGGGCCTCAGACCCTTTCTGTCGGAAGCGGCGGAGCCTCCTATCTTGGCCGTTATAGGGAGTACTCCCCCCCTCTGGGGTAGTATAAATGTTACCACTTGTACTCAGGAGCCTGCAGTTAATGGCCAGGTCAATTCTACTTTCTCTTTGCTCTCGCATTATGGGTGGTGGTTACAAAATTAGGAGTAACTACCCCCTCGGCCTCTCAGAAACAAAGCAACAGAGCACGTGACCATATTACCAACTTCCCATGGAAACCAAGATGGCGTTCGAAGCAAAAGATGTTAAAGAAGTCTTTCTTCATTTAGACGTCGAAAAACGAAAGAAAATGTTGGCCAAACTTCTCCGGTTTCCAGAATTCAACGCAGAAGACGATTTAAAGACGGCTGTTCTAATTGACAGTTATTATGAACTGCTGTCTCATCTGGTTGAAAACGGATTTCCATGGCGGGAGATCGCGTCGTTCCTTGAAATTTTTAAAAGTTTGTTAAATAAAACACAAGGTAAGAACTACAGTTTGGAAGAAGGTAATAGTGGAACTAGAGTAACGTAAAAGAGCATCGGGTGATGGTAAGAGTAGCAGAATTAGTGCCGGCAAGGTGATTCAAAGGTTAATATTGTAAAGCTTATGAACTAATTCATACAATCTTCCCGGGACAATCTTCAGTGAGAGAGACGTACCAGTCTGATAACTTTTGGAATACCGGGTAGTAAATATTATCATGACCTCTCCTGCTAAAATTAATGGCCTCACTTACCTTTCTAGGTACGTAAAAGATTTTGTTCGATCCTCCAACGCTTTCTGGAAGGTCACTCGTTCAAACTCATCACCATGATGGAATGATTACATTTCCATACATGTAATAAGGGGGACATTGGGGTACCCAATAATGTGATACCAAATAATGAAATACCGAGTCAAAAGTCAACATAATAGCGATACTGCAATTTCGGTTGGTCAAGCTTACTGAAAGTTGCGTCCAGTAATCAGTACCTGATTAAAAAAACATTGTCTCTAAAAAAGTATAAACCATGAACAATGAGCCTTCAAAGATTTATCAGTATACATTTACTAGCAAAGCAAATTGAAAGTTCTGAAAGTTCTTTCAACAAAAGTTTACATTGTTACAAGATGGTTATGTGGATGCAGATCCCTAGGGTACTTTGTTTAAGGCATGCCATTGTCTTTTTATGTCTTCCAAGAAAGCTTTTAGGCCACTCCTATCTTATGATTTTCAAGTGTGTGTCACTGAAATGGCTATCTCTCTAATTGTAGAGATCTTTGATCTGCAGGTGAAGCTGTGATCTTATTGACAAAAACAAACTGTCTGACCTTTTCTGAATGCATCGTTGCAAATTAAAAACCCTCAGTAAAGTATTAATGTTGTAGTTAATTTTTAACCTCAGGTAATTTTTGTTTTTGCTTTTGTTTTTGGGTATGGTAATGTCTGCAAATGAATTTGAAACATAAGAAAAATAAAAATTACTTGAGATAAAAAAATTAACTACAGCATAAACATTTCTGGAAAGAACTATAAATTTGTAATGCTAACAGTTTAGTTCTACCCATAAATCCATTAGGTTCCACTGTTCATGATTTATACTTTTCAAGTGACAAAGTTTTTTAACTCAGAAAAAAAGTGGCAAGGCCATTTTTGCTGAGTTATTGTTATGTATAAGAGAAGTACTCCAGGGGAGAAGCTGTTTAAGACATTAAAATGCATTAAAACTGCAACCCTGTTTAAGACACCAAATAGTGAAATTAAATACTTTTTTTAAGATTGAAGATCCCATAAACCTATACCATGCAGAATGGCACATACCGAGTGAGCCAAACATGGAAGTTCCCTCCCCCTTCAGCACATGCGTCCATCTGTAAACTCCCAAGGGAACCATTTTCCATATATGGAAGCAAAGAAACATTGCATTTGTTAATGACAACATAACGTCAAGACATCATGACTAATATCAGTTGCGTGCGTGATAGATCTACTGTATTTACCCATTTTTCAGGGTAGTTTTCCAAAATATACACAAGCGTACTTGTCAACCAAAGTTTTCATGCTAAAGAACAATTTCACTACAGTATCATTCAAAAGTAATACTAAATTTATAGTGATTCTGGTATAAATCACATGTATGTATTCTATTCATACGTGTTGATTTTTTATAAATATCCTTTTATTCAACAGGCATGTAAAAGATGAAACATGATCTATGACGTCAAAAAATTATTTTGTAAAAAAACAACAGATCGATCGACTTGTGTCATGATCGATCCCAAAAGATTGTTAGCATTATCAATAATTACAGGAAAATACATAGATTATTTTCCGAGTTTTGTGGCTCACAGCCACTTTGATTTTAATCAGGTGTATTTTAGACAGGAGAGTGCAAATGAATGGTAACCCAATACATTTAAGGATCTTTTTTCAGCGAATAAAGCAGGGCTTGATGATACCATAATACCGCACATAAAATTTTAAATTACTGAAATACCACTTGAAAAAAAATTTAATACTGCAAAACTTCCAATTCCTCCAGGATCCATGCAAAACTACAACCAAAGCTATGGGAGGGCTTCCCCAGTGGGGGAGAGGTACTTCCATGTATGGACTATTTAAATAGTTTTGTTCCCCATGATAGGGTATGGAATAAATTAATGGAACGTTTCCATTGGTCAATACTATCAAAATGCTAGGAATGCTATTGAACGTTGTGCACCGTCAGGTCCACGAAGACATGTAACAAAGGAGTCTGACAGGTTTCATAACCATTCCAATCCATTACCTATGGTCTGGGTTTGGGCCTAGAATAGGGTATCATTTTGTAGGAAACTGATCAGTGGGTTGAAAATTCTAGTCTAGACTAGAGAATTGACACTCCAAAAACAAAGAAGTCAGCAAACCTTAATTTACCCACAACTCAGTTAAATAGCAAAGAAAGTGTCGAAAACCTCAGTAAGCCTCAGTAGTTTCTGGAAAATAAGTGACTCTAGGATAGGGAGAAATTTTGGAAATTCAGTCTAGTTCAGGGTAGCAAAATTTTTTAAAACTACAGTAGGTCTGGTAAAGGCTATGAGTTCCAGGGTCTGAGCTGCACATTTCCACACAAACATTTCTTAAGTGCCTTTCCTGGGAGCTAATAGAAATATTTATCGTTTTCTTTTGCCTTGAAGGAACATCTGTCGTGGAGGCCATATCTTTGTTTAAAGAAGAAGTCTCCTGCAGTTCTCGGTACTTTGGTGACAACAGTCTCAAGTGTGCAATAGATTACTTATTTCTGACTTTTTTTCAACACTACAAGTTATATCAGTTTCTGCTGACGAAGGAAAGGGCTTTTGAAATTACAAATCTTCATTGTGTTGTTGAACCACCAGCAACATCACTGTTCTCTTTAATGGAAGGTGTACCAAAGAGTGTTTGGGATGAACAACAGAGGTTACAACAAATCGATGAAATGGAACAGATAAGAAATCAGGTAACATTGGTATAATGGACACACTCTGGGACACAATGTTGTGTTTTTTTTTTTCAATCACACTGTAAAACAAGTTTGCAACATGTTTTTAGTTAAGGGTGTAACTAGTGTTGTTTGGTCATTTTATTATTTTGGCTCTTCAGTTAATGTTAGATGGAGAGTTGATGGAGATAAACAGATAGTACTGGTCCTAGAGATATTTTGTTGTATTTAATACTCTTCTAAAAGGAGCTGGATCCTAGAGAGGGGCACTCCCATATGATATTGATGGACATGTTCAGCATAGCAATAAGGGGTTTGAAATTGCAGGTGGTTTTTTCACTTAGGGACTGCTTCAGGGTGGAAAACAGAAAGGTAATATTTTACCATTTAATGTATTGCTACGGGGTTGCATGTAAAGAAATTATTCATGTAGATAATTAAGGACTGATCGCACTATTGCCTGCATAGGTGGTGGTAATAGCAGGCAACTGGTGCTGTTACTGGTGGCAGAGCCTTAAGAAGATTGAGCAAAACTCAAACTTATGATTTTCTCTTGTGGCTTCTCTGCTCACGAAAATTCCTCCAGGCTTTGCTTGCAAGAAAGTATTCCACACATCAAACAATCCCACCAGAAATGATATGCTGGCTCATGACACTTTATTGGAAGATTAAGTCTCTTTTAGGGATTAGTCAAGCCTGAGCCGTGCCCAATTGGTCTCCTTTGGTGTGGGAGTACCCCCCCCCCCCCCCCCCCCCCCCCCCCCCCCCGCGGGGAAAAAAAAATATTTTTTTTTTTTTTCCAAAAAGAAAAAAAAAAAAAATTTTAAAAAAAAAAAAAAACGGCGGTTGCACGGGCGGGAGAAAAATTTTTAAAAATTTAAATTTTTCACAAAAAATAAAAAAAAGAGAAAAAAAAACCCCCACTAAAAAAACATTGATTGTAAAAAAAACTACTCCACACCACCAAAAAACCCACCACAAATGATATGCGTGCTCAGTACACTTTATTGGAAGATAAAGTCTCTTTTAGGGATTAGGCAAGCCCGAGCCGGGCCCAATTGGTCTCCTTTGGTGTGGGAGTTCCCCCCCCCCCCCAACTTCCCCCGCTGACCCGAGCTGGATAACAAAATTATTCTCTTTAATTATCCAACAGGAAAGAGAAGCATACTTTGAACAAGAAATACAGCAGGCTGTTCAGCGGCTGGAAGAACAGTTTTATGAATTTGAATCGTTACCAGAACATGTAACAAGAGAGCAACTAACCTCCATCATTAGAAGCATTGCTGTTAATAAAGCAGCTGTTACAAATGCTTCAATCAGTCAGAAAATACAACAAATACAGGACTTGCTGGAGTTCAAGTATAAACGTAGCAATGTTGATAATGAGACTGTTGACAAAGATGGCAAAAAATCTGCAAAATCAGGCAGGCGTTCTGGCAGGAAGTGAACTTTATCCACTTGAAAGTAAAATTGTACGGTGTAAAAATTACTGTGTCTAAAAAACATTTGTAGATCTTCCTGTGTTGATGAACTTCCATTTTCCCCTTCAGGAAGTACTTACGTAACCTAAAGAAATTGCAAGACTACCAAAAAGAAGGAGATCTTTTAGGTGTCTGAGCTAATTTTTTGTTAGGTTAAATTTCTTTAAGAGAAACAGCTTTTAGTACGCAGATATTTTCAAGCTCTCCGTTACAGTGTGTTATGTATTAAGTTTGACAATGAACAGCTTGCTCGCAGGCTAGGCACGTTTTTTTTTTTGTATATGAGCCCTTCATTATTGTGTTTCAAAGTGGTATAGCATGGCCTACGGAGCAGTTTTCAAAGTGCGGGGGCTGATCTACCTCTTTTGAAGTGAAGTTGAGGGGCGGGGGAGGGGGGATGTGGGATTGTGGACTTTAAAAATGGTTTACCTGGTGCCGACTCAATATTTCTTAATACAGTTACAACTCATCATGTTAGCCCAATCCGGGTCAAAGGCAACAACTAAACGACAAATAATCTGTGAAATTCAACATCTTCACTGCACTCGACACTCAGTCGTTCCGATTACATTCGATTACATCATCCCACGATTCAGGGGTCTGGCCCAGTCCGTTTCAGTCCTCTCTACTTAGTCCTTGACATTCTTCCCCTCTAAAAGAAAATGTTGTCCTCAACATCATACAGAAATGGTACTCTCGTATGCTATCACAATATCAGTTCCTTGCACTAAACGTAATTAACCTGGCTTACTCTAGTCTTTCTCTTCTGCTGCAGTAACATCGCACATCATCGCACATAACTCGATACAAGGAGCTTTCCGACAAAAAAAAACGGCTATGTATAATGAGTGACATACAACTGTTGAAAGTATTGTTTTGGAAACTAGGGCAAAGCAGTTGACTTAACTGACAACAAACACTTTTAAGTCCTGAAAAAAAAAACAATATATAAATAAATGACGTGGCTAAATTTCTTGTAGGTTCACAGGCACAGCCCATTTTCCTAGACTCGTTAATAACAGTAAGGTACACGAGTCATCGGCCCAAACTGCAGAGGTACATGTAGACAAAACATTGACAACAAGGTTTCCACACAGGTTGCAACATGCTGTGGGTATGATGCTGAATTCCCTTGCACTCCCACAGTAGTCCACGGTTGGAAGGACGGCTGTTCTTGTACATCATAAGTCATCCTAAGTGGGGGTCTGGACTTTCGTTGTGAATGCCTCGGGAGTCCCTCATCCACAGCATCAGCGTCATCATTTGAAGTAGCCACCTGTTCACAGCTATCTTCGGTCCCTCGCTCCTGGTCCGCGTCATCAGCATAAAAGGGATCAGCGTCCTGTTCTGCTAGCACCGGTGCATGTTCATATCCCTCACTAACTTGGCACCTGCAGACTCAAAAAGTTCCTCAAATTGATGGTGTGTTAAGTTCGGCATGTCGTCAGCATTGCTGGATGTTCCTTCAGTGGAAGGCTGCCGTTTGGTAACTTTTCTTTGTACCTTTGCTTGTACTGATCGGAGCTTCAACAGGTAAGTAAGAGCATGGCAGGAAAAGGTTGCGATGAAGAACTCTGGACCTTCCACCTCCATTCTATGGCCTGACCTCGTACACTGACTGGCATGTCCTTTCGTTTCTGTGTCCACCCCGGTGCGACAGATTCCTTACAAGTACGCGATCTCCTTCGTACAGTGTAGTATGCCTAGCTCTCTTGTCGTAGTGTACTTTACCGAGTTTTGCACTCTTCCGTGAATGAGTAGACGCCAGTTCATAGGCTTCTGAGATCGCTCCTCTCCACCTCTTGACATATTCAGGGTATGTAGAATAGCCTTCTGGAGGCTTAAGGTGACTCGACCCAGTTTTTTTGGGGGGGTACCATCCTACTTTGAAGCTCTCTGGTATCCCCACCTTTACTTTTATCGTAAGTCTAACACGTAGAATGGATAACATATAGATCAATCTACAATATAACATAAAATTTTTGGCGATCGGAGTAAATGTCACGTGGTTATAATGCCACACCCCTTTGAGGTCTGAGTCGAAAATCTGCTGTTGCCGGCATTTTTTCGTGAAAATCTCTCGGCTACACGTAGTGCGCATTAGTGCCTTGCGCTGAAGAGAGTTTCACCAAAATCCCAAAGACCCAATTCGAGAAATTCAGCGGTTTCCAAATTTAGGTCATAATTTATGCGAAAATGATAAGCAAACTTTACACGGATTATATCTAATAAACTATGAGATTCATCTCTTTATTTTGGGCATCGTTATAACAGATGGGTCCTTGAAAGTCAGCAAAACGCTTTAGGGCCTTGTAAATGCGCGCGATTTCGAGCAAAGCAAACATATAGAAATTATAGTTTTCGCTATTTGTTGACGTTTGTCAGCGTTTAAGAGTCCTTCTCACGAAAAAAGCATTTTCTTAAAAATTCGTAGTTTTTTTTCCTTCAAATTTTTTCAGGGCCACAATTGATTAACTAACTACCCGAACTCTGAATTTCATGGTCATTGAAAAACTGTGACATTATCTTCTTTAAGCCCAAACTTGAGTAAACATTGAAGATTTTTAGCGTTTTGGCTGAGTTTGTGCTTTGGGAGTTGTCTATTGTTTCTAGTCTGTCATGATACAGCATTCTTGTTCAGCACGCGTGCAATGACCGCGCTTGGCTGACTTCCGGGTGCAGTTATAAGCATGGACTACATTATAGAGATGGTCGCGCCAACGTGATTTCTGTTTCTCAGGTAACGCTCGGAGCATGGATAAGAGTGTACGATTAAACCTCTCCACCTGACCGTTACCCTGTGGGTGATATGGCGTCGTTCTTGAGTGTCTGACTCCACTCACTTTCTCCAGGTTGTAGAAAAGCTTGTTTTCAAATTCTCCTCCTTGGTCATGAAGAAATCATGAATCCAAACCTCATGACTGATGAAATCATTGAACAGCTTATCAGCAGCCGTTTTGGCAGACTTGTCACGCATAGCGTATGCTTGCGCGAATCTTGTGTAGTCGTCCATGATCACAAGTATATATTGGTATCCACCAGAGCTTGGTTCTAGGTGAACAAAGTCTATAGAGACAAGCTGAAAGGGCCCAGTAGAGATGATAGGCTGAAGTGGGGCATTAACATGGACTGCTGGTTTCCGCTGTTTCAAACGCTGGCATATTTTTGTGACATACTGAGTGATATCTGCCCTCATGAATGGCCAGTAGAAGCGCTCTCTGGCCAGCCCGATTACTCTGTCAGCCCCTAAGTGTCCCATATTTTCATGCAGTTCCTCGTACACTCTCTTACGGTATTTCTTAGGCAAAACTATCTGATTCCTAACTCCAGATTTATGATAGAGAATTCCATCTTCTGAAAGAACAGTCTATTCCATTCATGTAAAAGCTGTCATACAACCACTGTCTCTTGCAGCTTTTACTGGTAGGTGGGGCGTCTTCGGTTCTGCATGAAGTGTAAAACACGAGAGATGGTTGTATCTTCCTGCTGCGCAGCTGAAAGGTCACTTAGGGATATGGTTGAAACACTACCAAGCTCTTCTTCCAATATAACAGGTGTCGCTGTGAGAGATGACAACCAGGCCGTTTTGGTAGAATTGCTCTCATTAATCGAGGAAGTCACAGCATTCAACACATCCTGACTAACCATTTCCGAGCAACCAATCGTATTCTTCAAAGCTGATCGGCATGCGCGACAAGGTATCTGCATCTGCATTCGCTTTCCCTGGTCGGTATCTAACATCAACGTGGAAGTCAGCAAGTTCGTTCACCCATAGCAGACCTGTAGCGTTTAGTTTTGCTGATGTCAGAAAGTACGTCAATGGATTGTTGTCAGTGAAGACAGTAAACTTGGGACAGTAGTACAGGTAATCGCGAAACTGGTCAGTTATTGCCCACTTTAAGGCAAGAAACTCTAAGTTGCCGGCGTGAAGGTGATAGTTCTTCTCAGCTGCTGAGAGGGCTCGAGAGGCGTAAGCTACTACTCTCATTACCCCCCTACTTTCTGGTACAACTCCGCCCCGAGACCTTCCCTACTTGCATCTGTATGGAGAATGAATGCCTCAGAAAAATCTGGATAAGCCATTATGGGTGGGTTACTGAGATGTCCCACTAGCTCTTCGAGGGCTGTTTGCTGTGCACTTCCCCAACTGACTAGTGTTTTGGAGGGTGGTTGCCCAGTGGTGGTCAGAAGGTCGTAAATGGGCTTAGCGACCTTTGCAAAATTTCTTATGTATCTTCGGTAATAACTCAATATTCCAGCCAGCTGTCTGACCTTCCCAACAGTCTTAGGCAATGTCTCTTTCAGTTTTTCAACGGCCTTAACACTTTCAGGGTCCCTCCGGAAACCATCACCAGAGACGATCCTCCCAAGAAAACGGACCTCACGTTTAAACAAACTACATTTACGGGGCTTCAGCTTTACTTCGTGCTGGCGTAGCTTTCTCAGGACTTCTCTCAGGTGCTCAACATGAGCTTCAAACGTTCTACTACAGTAAACACGGTTATGTCATCGAGGTATGTGATGGCTACCTTATCTCTTAAATCGCCCAGACACCGTTCCATAAACCGCTGGAAATTTGCGGGCGCATTCATCAATCCAAACGGAGTTCTGACCCACTCATACAGCCCCTATGATGTCACAAATGCTGTCGCTGCCCTACTTTCTTTGTTCATAAACCCCTGGTGATACGCCTTTCTTTGGTCAAGCACAGTGAACCAAGAGTTCCCACCCAAACAATCCTGGACGCTAGCGATAGGGTGTCGGTCAGAAATCGTTCGGCGATTCAGTTCTCGATAATCAATACACAGTCTCAGTGTCCCATCCTTTTTACGGACACAAACTACAGGGGATGAATATGGTGACTTTGATTTAGCAATAAAGTTCTGGTTCAGTAGGTCTTCAATGTACTGTTTTACCTCAGGGTACAGCGGCCTTGGAACTGAAGTGTACTTCTTTTGGACTGGTTGGAGGTCTTTCAAGTTGATCTCCATTTCTAGGTAAGGGATACAGCCAATATCTTCATCACTGAATTCAAAAGACTTGTACTCTTCCCTTAACATTGCTTAAGCTACAGTCCTTTGATATTAATTCAAGCCACTCAGATCAACTGCTGGGAGAGGGTTCAACCCTCCCTCGCTTTGCTGCTGGGGAACAGAAGGTGACTCGTGGAACTGCTCTTCCTCGGGCTTCTCATTGCTGCCTTGTGCTTCTTTATCGGTCAATTGTACTTCTGCTGCTGTTATAG